TTTTTTAAGTTAGTCTTATTCTAGTTTCCCTGAGGGGGAAATGAAAGTGCTATTGTAGAGAGCGACGGCTAGTGGTAGCTGAAATGGGTTACAGCCTCAGAATGACAGCTCTGAGGAGGGGGTACTCACACTAGCACTCTGATCATGAATGCATCTGACCGCATTTACGGCCAGACCTGTATGCATCTGGCCCGAATTCCGTACAGAAATAAGTAAAAAAGTGCTAGTCTGAGTATGCCCTGATTCTGTTCCGTAGGGTTCAAGCAGCACAGTTTGACCGGCAACGACTAGAGTACCGCCAGCATTTGACTGGTTTCTTTATTCTAGTCTGTTTTTCCTTTATGTTTTTTTTTTTTTTTTTTTTTTTTTTTTTTTTTTTTTTTTCCGCTCAGTGATCAGTGATCACGTTGTTGAATTTCATCACCAGTTCGGAACACGTCCAGATGAGAAACACTTAGAAGGTGCAAGACTGCAAGTTGAAGCTGAGTTGGCATCCAATCCAAGTGGTTAAGATGATTGTCGTATCCAATCATCCCACAGTCTTTTAGACAATTTAGCGTTGGACAATGTATTAAAAAATGTGCTAACAAAAATCACAATCGAAGATCTAATCACCGTTCTTACTCGACCGTCGAATCTTATCACCTCCTCACTTCCAATCAACTTCCAATCAACTTCCAATCTACTTCCAATCAACTTCCAATCAACTCGATAACTTAATTACCAGATTCCCAAAATACTTTCTTCTTCTAGCTACTCTATACTGTCACTGTTAATAGCCTTGCTGACATTCCCTTAAAAAGAAGAAGAAGAAGAAGAAGAAGAAGAAGAAGAAGAAGAAGAGGAAGCAAAAGCAGAAGCAGCAGCAGAAGAAGAAGAATAGTGAAAACAGTGGCCATAGACTGCTTCTCGTACGTGCATTAACAGATTTACATTTCTTCTCCGCATGTACAGCTCTCAGAAAAACGCGCATAAGAAGAAGAAGAAGAAGAAGAAGAAGAAGAAGAAGAAGAAGAAGAAAAAGAAGAAGACGAAGCAATGGCCGATAATTGCTCACGAACAAGAAGTATGATATTACAAAAATCAACATGTTCTTCACACTCAGCACATGCACATTCCCCGACCGCCTGCGCTGCGGTCATCCTCAGGAGGCTTCCCACTGCCCTGCCTTGCGGCTACCACCTCACGGACCTTCCATCTGAGTATAGAGGGCCGTCACGGGCTTGCCCTCTATATATGCAGTAGGCAGGGTGCCTAGTCACGCAACCAGTAGCCTAGGTGGCGGGTCTGGTCTGACACTTACCGCCCACGTCTCATCTACAAACGTATTGGTGTAGGCATTCTTAACGGCACGTGCCTTCCACATGCCCGCCATATGCCACAACTGACTCCCCCGTTTTGAATTCGAATCAATCTTCCTGCTCAGATATTTCAGCGTCTACTCCTCCCGCCTATCTGTCTGCCCTTACCTCCGCGTACTTTCACGGGGTTTCCGCTACCCGTGCTGCGACGTAATTTCCATGGCCTATCCAGGACTGCCTGGAGGTACCTGTTCTCAAGCTTGGTCCATGTACAGCCAGGGGGTCCAGCGTTTTACAAACGCCGGACCTTTTACAAACGCCGGACCCTCAGGAACAGGAAATTTTGACGAGTTTTCGGCCAAAAAACTCAGTTTCAATTTCATTCAAAAAATAAAAGATGTCCATTTCGACGAAATGGCAGTTTTCGAAGCTATAGATGAGTCAACTCTCGATCCTGTAGCGTGGTCCCTTCGGAACTCCCGTTTGAGAGTTGCCGAAGTACAAGCTGTGCAGCAAAAGGTGCTTGTTGCACTGATAGCTGGTCAGAATTGGATTCTGGCTGCACTGCGGGCGCCACGACCTCAGGTCAGGCAGCCACAGTATGTTGTAGCTCCCCCTATGGTTGCAGGTCCCACTGTGATGCCACAGCCGGTAGGGCAACCCTAAACCCCAGTTTGGCATTCCCATATCAGGCGGTCTAGTAGTAGGTAGTAGTGGGCAGATTCTTGTACCTTCTTCGTTTCCACAGTCAGCGGCTGCCGCTACAGGGAAGTTGCATATACACCAGCCTGTGCAACAGTTACCCCTGCAGCAGCAAGTGCAGCAGCAGCAGACTGGTCCATTGGTTTCACAACCAATGCAGCAGGCACAGGGTGTTATACAACCCGTGCAATGGACCCCTAAGATACCCTTGTTGAGTCCTAAACCCTTCTCTGGCGACAAGAACAAGGAAGAGGACCTGGACACCTGAGTGAGGACTGTGCCCACATATGTGAGGCATGAGCTCACAAGGACCGAGGAAGAAGTTATAGTCGCTGCATGCTTTTTAGAAGGATCTGCAGCCAGATGGCTGAACGGACTAGTACAGTAGCAAGGATACGGTCAGAACTTCGATGGCTGGGCATAGGCTCGACCGTTGGAAGAGTTCGTACAGATGGTCTATAATAGGTGGCATGATTCCCATGGGTCTCAGAACGCCACCTATTTGCTAGCTAGTCTAGGATAAAAAAGATACCGGACAATTCGCGAAGTTACAGACGTCGTAGAGCGACTGATTGTTGTCCCTGGTGTGCGGTACGATCCACTGATTCTCCTCACAACTTATTTGCGATGTCTGCCCACATTGGTTGATGAGACTCCATAGATGTGCATAAGTTCGCCACTTTCAGCAAGAAGGCTTTAGACATAGAGGCTAAACCTGGGAGTGTCCAGCAGGGACCGACAATTGGAAAGAAGAAGAAGCTTCCTCAGGACTGGAGAAAGAAGGGCAACCTCATGTTCGTTGACCACGACCGTCACGGTCAAGCGACTGAGATTGCCAACTTCTCTGACCTTGGGGAAGAAACAGAGGTAGATGGGAGTGTAGACACTTCAGTTGGTGGAGTAGTCGCTCCTATCAGGAAAAAAACTAAGGGGGTCGGAAAACAGAAGTCAGGCCGGCCCAAGGGTCGATACGACCAAGGAAAACTCATACGGGTAAAGCTTGGCCTAGAGTACGAGGTGTGGCGAGACCGTGTTCGCAGCCCGTCATGGGTGCGTTTTATGCCCCTGAGAACATTTTTCGTTGTCGTTCGTTATACGGTCGTTGGAAGGCTGGAAAAACAAGGCATGGCAGTTTAGGGGGTGGTGGCATCTTATTTGAAACTGCAGGACCGGTAGCTGCCCGTGAGACCCCACGGGTTTTGGTCCAGGACCGCGTAGGACCGGTAGTTGCGCGTAGGAGGCCGAGGAGGCCGCAATCCTTTTTCAAAATAAAAACGGTGCGGGTCCACTTTTCTTGAATATCAGAGTTCCTCGAATAGAAAATGCACACGTTGTATTCGAATACAACCTTTACCCTTTCTATTCGGATTTCGAAAAGAAAAAACTCTTGTATTCCGATAAAATTACTTATTTGTTTTGTTGGAGGTTAGCGCCTGCCCTTGTGCTCCCCGCCACTGACATGCTGCATGCTGCAGGTCTCTCTCTCTCTCTCTCTCTCTCTCTCTCTCTCTCTCTCTCTCTCT